AAACAATGACAATTACCGACGTGGAGGGATAGTTAATGGGCTGGACTTGAACTCAGAACTTACACGCCACATCACTAAGCCCTTTCACTACTGGGCCAACCTAACTCATTCGGCCGGTGTAATAGTGATAGTATTATTGGATTTTCTAGGTAACTTAAGCCTAGTTCATTCACCGATTGGGCAAATTTCCAGCCTACATGTAGGTTTTGAATTTTCAAGGACAGCCCTAAACTCTAAAACATAGAGTCATGGACCCACACCATAACAAGGTGGACAGTGTTAGAATCGGATTTAAAATAAAAAGAAAAAGGGGAACTTTCACATGAGATTGAGATATATATGATGGATAAGAAAACTTTAAAACATCATGCATCCTGGGCAATCTAAGGGGGCAATTTCACCAATTTCACCAATTTCCAGTATCAGTTTTATTTTCAGTTTTTGAAAATTTTTGCTCATTTATTTTTCTTTACGAATAAATTATAGAAAAAAAAAATGTTTTGAGTTGTATCTAACATTCTCTCATGTCAATATCTTCGAGTAAGATGAGTAATTCATAAACAGAGTCAATAAACCAGTGGTTAAGTACAATGGTGAGGTCTTAAAAAGTCTGGAATTCCCCCACTCCATAAGCAAATGTTTTCAAGAACCAGATTCTGAACAGGGATGAAAGAGATGGCCAAAAAAAGAGTAGGGAATGAAAGAACAAACAGCAAGATCTTTACTAATGAAAGGAAAATGAAATTAAGCTGTACAATTCATTTACATCACCTCAGAAAACAGTAAAAATAATATTTATAGGGTTGGGATTTTATAGCTGGTATCTCACTTCCAATTTTTCCCACAAAAAAACTCCCACGAAAAAAAAGAAAAAGAAAAAGAAATAGAAAAAGCCACCCAATGTAAATATTTTTTGAAGAAAAAAAGAGTTAAAAATTATCAGAAATGTGTTTTGCATAATGGAAATTTCATGAATTAAGGAGCTGTCCATGCAAAACCAAAACAACTATTTTAAAAAACTATGTAGGAAAAAAAAAAAAGAGAGTAAATACCAGTACGGGAGGATTCTTCATCTCTTCCAACTTCGACTCCTTGATAATGGATCTTGCGTTCCTCCAACAATCCATGTTTCTTTTACTATATCCGGTGAAATTTCATAGAAATCAGTCTCTTCTTTCTCCTTATTCCTCTTCTCTTCATCCATTAATGTCCTCAAGTTCTTTCTAGTTTCACCTTTCTTCCCCATTTCTTCTTTCTCTTCAACTTCTGCTCGTTCCCTTTTATTTTCTTTGTCTTCTTCTTTCTCTTCTTGCCAGCTCTTTGCCGGAGCAGACCTACATCGCATAAGAAGCAAAGCATTTGGTGGGGGAATTGCGGCCTGAACGTTGTCAGTGCTGTGATGAGGAGTTTCCCTCTCTGTTTTCTGTTCGTTGCAGAACCCATTGTTTTGATTTTCTTGAAGTACCATGAACCATTGTGAGAAAATGGTTCTGGAAGCTTCATTCCCATCATTACCCGCATGGTCGATGAGGTTGCGCTGATATTTTTCATCGTCTTCTTCCTGATCCTCGTCGTCAGTGGTGGTATCTGTTTGAGGAAATATCCCAAAGCAACGAAAATCCAGTCGGATGCTTCGCAAGCATGTCAAGAACTGCATGATTTCCTTTTTGAAGCCAAGAGACTCGATCCAACTGGGTCTCTTTTTGCTGTTCTTCCTGCTGTTGTGAATTCTCTCAATTTCCTCCATGACGGACTGCCAGTTCTTGCACGAGCTGGTTTTGTGTCTGACTTTGATCTGCCCGGCACAGGTGACTTTCGGTGAGGTTGGTTCGGAGATTTCGGAACCCATTTGCTTGTTCTTGTTCCACAAGAGAGGACTTGCTAAGCTGCCACTTCTGGTGCTGGATTTCTTGAGGAGACGGTGGTGGTGAGGGTGGTGGTTGTGGTGGCGCTTGGTGGGCTCTGATGGTCTGGCAGGGCTGCAAATTGGCTTTGGCATTAGAGTGAGGTGGGCTCGAGATGGGAAACATACTAACAAATCTGCTGAAGGAGCTGTTTTGCCTTCTCTGCCTTTCATGGTAACACTGCCAATTTTCTCCTCTTTTCCTCTGTTTCTCTTATTTTCCTCGCTTTGCTTTCCAAAGTTCTTTCTGTTCAGAATTCAGATGTATGGTTTTGGGGGTTTGGGAATGTTTGAGTGTTTTTAAAAGAATAGGAGGGAGGGTTTTGACAGCTTTTTTCTGCCTTTTGCCTTTTTCATTGTGTGTGTTTCTCTTTAGGCTTTCCCTTCTGTTTGGTGATTTGCCTAGCACTCCTCTTTGCTTTTTTTGAGATGGGGTCACTCCTCTCAAGTGAGCTTCTTTCTTGGTCTCTGCTCTTTTATTATTATTATTATTATTATTTTTTGAACATTATTATTATTATTATTTATTTAGGTTTGCAAAGGAAATTAAAATTTTAAATGAAAAAGCAAAATTCCACGAGCTGTGTTTCATGATCCAATCATAGCCTCAACTTTCAGCCCATGCCAGTTAGCACACTCACTCTCAAAGCTGCCCTTTTGCTATTTTTCTTTAACAACAGCCAGCCACCATAGATTGGTGGGTTATTTCTTAGTGTTCACTCTTCCTTTGGTCCAGTTTGTACGGCTTTTATACAAAAATCCAGTTTTCCAATTGCACGATAAAAATACACGTGAAATTACCGAAGTAGGCATTTGAGTCTATAAACGCCAAATTGTGTATGGTCGTCTTACATAATTTTACACTTAAGTCTACTTCTATAAAAACTATACTTAAATAAACTTCTATGAAAGATTTTGTTAGGCCAAAGAGGACAGAGAATATTTGGAAATAATATACATGTGCTCGTTTGAAAAGAAAAAAGATATGGAAGATGCATAGGGACCAAGAGCATGTGATGTCTTTAAAAGGAGACAAAGAAAGTAACCGAAAGGTTTAGGTGGGAAAATTGGGGTTAAGTAAAGTGAGGGAGCCATAATGAGGGAGTGTTGCACTTGAGAGCATGGGAGAAAAATGGCCCCCTCCATCAACTGCACCTTGCGTTAGGATTAGACTTTCTCTGCTTTTGGTTATGACTTTCCACGAAGAAATTCCCAGCCTTCTCTCTTCTTCTTTCTATGTTTTTATCAATAAAATTATGAGAAAGAGAGATTAGTGGGGTGGGGCAGAATTGAAGAAAGCAAAAAACTTCCCATTTTCACTTCTGCTTATGGAGAAAGTTTGCTATATGCCACGAATATCACGTTAGCAATATCTTCAACCAATCAAAGCATGTTATGTCATCACTTTTTTTTTTCACTTCAGCAGCCATGTCAGCAATTTTTTTTCACTCCAACAGTGTCCATTAATGAGGTGGAAAAACTCGTTGATGTGACATGTTGTGATTAGTTAAGAATACTACTAACATGGTATTCCTAGAATAGAGTAGACTTTCTCCTCCTTATAGGGGGAGGAGCTGGGGAGGATTTGAAAAATGTACTTGGTGCCATTGAATTTCTAGAATGCTTCACGAGCACAACTGTTGGGAGTGCTCTCAAGCTAAGCCAGACCCAATGGCCAAATATTCACATGTTAGCTATTGATACTTGATAGCTAGCTATAGTCTTGATCCATGATGAGGCAAATTCTCTATTTACAGTTGAGTCAAATCTGATGGGATTTTTTCTGCCAGCAAGAAAAATAGTTTGAATTCTATGATTAACTCTTTATGAACTTCAACTGCATAAGACCTTTTTTCCAACTCAAAGGAAAAATACATGAAAAAGTGCAACAATAGTGCTTTGAAGTGCTAAAAAGCATACAGAGTCAAACAGGGAGTATTGCCAAACACCAAACTCTAGAGAATGACACAATGATCTCAGTAAGAAAGCCAAGTGCATTTGATGAGTTGAGTGGTTTCCATTTTCGTATAGTCTTGTAACTGCACCAAATCAGAAGTCTTTCTTCAGTCCGTGTTTGCACTTCGGATTGACCTGCAAAGCCCCGAGGTGGGTCCTCGAGGTAGACAATCCGATACTTAAGTTAGCAATAATCGGGGCTACCTTTAGAGTGCAGATAAAAGGAGCTTAGGGTTGGTTTCAATTACTTTTTTGAGGTGGCCCCTAGAAGGTATTTATAGGCTCTAGTGAGGAACCCACATGCCAAGCAAGATAATCGGAGTTTGATTGTGTCTATCCAGACGGATAGGCTCCAGTGAGGAACCCACGTGACATGCCAAGCAAGATAACCAGAGTCTGATTGTGTTTATCCAGACGGTTATTTCGGGACCGGGAAATTGAGAGATATTCAGATGTAAGAACATCCATCGTAACTACTGTGCAGCTTATCATAAGGAATCAGGTGCGGGCACGTTTATTGTCGCTGTCATGCAGCTGTTTGAGCGAGAAGTGTTGGATTTATCCTTCACTTCGATTATAAAGGAATTACTGTCGTACGTTCGAGGTTGGGTACCTCGGACCTATCCTTACAAGTCTCAACTCACAAGTGCATTTGCTGATAAGGAAGGCGGGCTGCATAAGCAACTTCTTTAGTTAGGTATTGATTCAATTCAAAACAATTATAATATCGAAACTACCATAACCATAAAATTATATAAATGGGAGATCAGACATGTGGGGCTTGGAGAATATGGGAGAAAATGGAGAAGTAGGGTTTTAAAAGTTGCTTTCATTTGTGGGATGATGTCAAAACACACAAAGATTCCTTTCTATCAATGAGTAGGGAGTGGGAACATCCCTAATCTCTAATGTCCCTCTTTTTTTCATTGTTTAGTTTAACGAAGGCATTTTGTCAGAGAGAATTAGGTGATGGGCATATGACTTGATACCTGAAAAAAAGAGCTTGTATTCTTTTAGTTTTTTCATCAAGATATGTTAGGTAATGATTTTAAACTAAATGTGCCCAAAAGATGGGTAACTTATGGAATGGTCCTTTCATTATGCAAACTGGTGTTAAGACATGAACATGATTATGAATTGCCAAGCAAGATCAATCAATCATTTTTATCATTATATTTCATGTGATATTGAGCCCCATATGATTTAAATGAATTTTATGTTATTGCCTTGGTTAGTTTATTGTTCAAATGATTGTGATTAATGTTCTTGCATGCAGCTCTTCCAGCAGCAGGGCGCTATGAAAGGGTTAAAATCCTTACATCCTATACTGTGCTGGTAACTTTTCTAGAGAACAAGATTTTAAATTTAGGAAAGGTTTTGCTTTTGCATTTTACTAGATCTCTCAGCATGGCATAAAACCGTCGGCCTTTGAATTCACACTGTTAGAGTTGATGATCATAATAATAAGTTGGACCATATGCTTTTTCTATGAATAGATTTTGAATTGGACCAATCTTAATAATTACAATCATGATTTCATGCCTGGTTAGATCTAACAAATTAACTTTTTTCTTCCTCTTTCTTGAAATTTTCTTGGGGGTAAATTGTCACACTTAATTTACTTGGAGAAGGAGGGATACAAGTTTGAAGTTTCAATAATTTATCATGAATTCAATCTTGGACCGAATTTTGGAGGAATTTTTTTTCCATTTCCTTTTGTGCAAAACTACAAGTAGTACTTGCATTTCTCAATAGTTGCATAAAATACCAACTGATTTGTATAGTACTGTTCGGGGAGTCGATAAGCTAATTCCTGTAGATGTCTATTTGTCAAGCTGTACACCTAAACCAGAGGTTGTTATAGATGCTATAACAAAACCTCGTAAGAGAATCTCTCAAGAAGTTTATGAAGATCGAATTCGATCTCAACAGTAGGAGGATTGGTGTTTACTACTAATCACAAGATTCATCTTGAATTAAGTACTGGAAATTATAATAAAAAATTACTTTATCAATCACCACCTATTTAAGAGATTCCTCGTGAAACATTTTTTTATTTTAATTAGAGAGAGTTTAAAAAATCAAGACATCCTGACGCTTATGATATTTATCATAATTATTTGTTGAATGAATCTAAAAAAAAAAGGATTTACTTATAGATGATTGTGATGGACATTTTCACCATTAAGATGTCATAATTTTCATATTTCTTAACTGAATAAGCACTCATTAACTTTAATTTTTTTAAAATTTAAAATTAATGTTAAAGATTTAAATTATTACCCTTAAATGGTCAGATGTAACGAAAAAATAGTTACATAAAATGCTGTTGGTTCATTGTGGGCTGTGGGCTTATAAACTGCACTGGGTAAATAATAACAAATTTATGGCCCAAATAGAGATCCCCAAAAGAAATTTTTAAAACCCTAATTGAGAGTTCAGAGGAAACTTGGGGACGTGCCGTGCTTTGTAGAGAACAAGATGGCATACGGTATCTGTAGAACCCTAATTGCATTCTCCTCCAATACTACTGCATTTCGCCACAACGCCCCCATCTCTAGTTCCATTTCTCTCCTTTTCTTCTCTTCTTCTACACCCATCAAATCAAAACCCTCCATTCCCACGCTCGATTACTTGATGAATCAACACCAATTTTCTCCCCAAGCTGCTTCGAAAGCCGCATCATCAATCCCATATCTGAAGAATCCTAAATGCTCTGATTCCATACTTTCATTCCTCAAAGACAACGGTTTCTCCAAAACCCATATTGAAGAAATTCTCAAAAAGGCACCCCATGTTCTCTGTTCCAATCTTAACAAAACCATCAAGCCCAAGCTCAAGATTGTTCAAGACGTGGGATTTTCCCAAACTGAAATTGCTGATGTATTAGCTGCTGATCCTTGGATCTTTAATAGAAGCTTGGATAGCAGACTTGCACCATCCATTTCAGCGTTAAAGAGTGTTTTAGGATCAAGTGCTGGTGTTTGTAAGGCATTAAAGGTTTCTTCTTGGTTTTTGAACGTGAATTTGGAGAAGACTATGATGCCCAATATAGAATTCCTTAGGAATTGTGGGGTTAGTTCGTCCCAGATAATTAATTTTGTTTACAGTTTTCCTAGATTTTTCTTGATTAAGCCTGAGAGCATGAGGGAATTGGTTAAAAGGGTTGATGAATTGGGAGTCAGTAGGGAGTCCAAGAAGTACATTTATGCTGTTCGAGCGCTGAGTTCAATGTCAATGGAGAAATGGGAAAACAAACTAAAGCTGTTTAGGAGCTTGGGATTATCAGAAGATCAGATTTTGGCCTTGTTTAGGAGGGCACCTCATGTATTTGCTATATCTGAGATGAAGATTAAGGAGGTTAGTGAGATGTTACTTGGCATAGAGAACATAGATGCTTCTTTTATAGTTGAACACCCAGATTTGCTGATTCATAGTGTCAAGGGTAGGCTAGAACCCCGTCTTGCAGTTTATGAGATTCTTGAAAGTAAGAATTTGCTTAGAAGAAAACCTAAATTGACTACTCTTTTCAAAATTTCACCACAAAAGTTCCTGGCCAGATATGTTATTCCTTATTCAAATGAGCTAGGAGATGTATCTATGGTATTTGGGACTCAAAGTTGATGATTTTCATGTTTTTCATTTCAAGGATCAGAGTGAGGTTGTTGCATTTTTGTTGTTCTTTGGAATAAAATAGCCCATACTTGCTGATTGAAGTTATTTATCAGATTTTGTTTTTTGATCACCAAATGCTATGTCCTTATTCCTTAAATATATTGTTCTTTGTGAATTATCATCCAGTTGTACAAATTATGTTGACTGCTGTAGTGCTTTTTACTAATTTTAATTGTGGCTTATATCCCAAGACAAAAAAATATCAATTAGATTTTGAATCCGTGTACCTTTGATGCCATTGCTTGCTTAATTCTCTTGTTTGACTAGTTGAATTTAGTTTTGATGCTTTT